CAAAACCCCATGTGAATGTGCATGTCCAATCTCCCACTCCTCAGCAATGCCGGGTCGAGCTTCTCCACGTGGTTAGTCGTGAATACGAAGATCTTCTCGCTCCCGCAGCAGGACCAGAGCCCGTCTGTGAAATTCAGAAGGCCCGAGAGAGTCACCGAGCTTCCCGGGTCGTCAATGGCGGAAATTGAACCCGACCCGTTTGAGAATTCCGGGTCGAAACAACCCGGGGACGACGGTTTCGTCCCTCTCTGCTTCGCCCTGTTCGTCAGATTGATGGAGCAGTCGATGTCTTCGATCACGATGATCGATTTCGAGCTCGTTTTCATCAGTAGCTTCCTCAGTTCGGAGTTGTTCTGAACTTCAGTGAGCTCGAGATCGTAGATGTCGTACCCGAGATAGTTCGCCATGGCCGCGATCAAGCTCGATTTCCCTGTCCCTGGAGGTCCATACAACAAGTACCCTCTTTTCCATGCCCGCCCGGTTTTCTGGTAAAACCCTTGTCCGCTCGCGAACTCTCTCAGATCCTCCATGATCATCCTCTTCCTCTCCGGATCCATGGCCAGAGTATCGAACGTGCTCGGGTGCTTGAATCGGACAGAGTCCCATGGATGGCTTCTCGCGTCGAGAGAGACGCCTCTCGAGTTCGTGTAGAGGAGTCTTTCCTCGTTTCGCCTGCGAATCTCCTCCGATTTTCGGACAATGTGGTCGAGGTAAGATTCCAGGACCATGGATTTGTCTCTCTTGTTGATCTGCAGAGTGAAACCTCGCTTCTCCTCCGGCAATGGCCGCCACGAGAAGCTCTGGACTTGACGCTGAGTGACGACGTGTTCCCAGAGGACGGTGACGCCGTTAAATACGTCGGTTATCCTGTCGTTGTTGGAGAGGCCGTAGGTGACGGAGCTCGAGTTCGGGACACGCGTGAGGCTGAGACGAGTGTTGCCATAACCGCCGTTAACGGAGACGGCGGAGCTGAGGTAGAGCTGGACGGCGTTGTAGAGCTCGTTGGTGTTGACGCCGTCAATCTCCGTTACGTCGAGGTAGAGATTCGGGGAGAACACGTGGCGGATTCTGGTGAGGAGGTGGAGGAAGCGGAGTCGGAGCTCCGGCGGAAACACGAGCTGTAGAATTGTCTGAAAAAACGCCAGCATCCCTAACAAAGATGCCAATGCGGTCCAATATTCACTCATTTTCATAGATCTTTTATGGGTGAATATGAATAAAAGGTGGGTTTTTTTTTAAAGAAAAGCTTTGATTTTTATGGTGAAATCGGGGAATGGAGAAGTGGGTATGAGGTTTTTTGATGAACGGAAAAGTGGGTTTTTACTTAAACTTGCATTAGCCTTTGGAAAGAGCAAAGATCCATGGGCTCGAACTTCAGTTCTTAAGATTTTTGGAAGGGAAAAGGTGGAGGCTTTTGAGAGAGAGAGAGAGTGTTGGAAATGGAAAGGAGGGTTGGGCACAATTTATAAGAATGAGAGTGAAGATTTTCCTTTTTTATTTTATTTTTTTATAATAAAATAAGCTAGATTATTCACGGTGGAAGACTTAAAATCATTGAAAATTTAAAAACTAGGCATTGATTGCACTAGGAATTACAACACTCAATCGTGTTTAATTAGAAGTGTAAACAAAGCGACATGGGAGAAGTATCAATCATAAGGCATAAGCATTGCAAATCCATTCCCCAATGAAAGAGAGAGATAGTGAATGATTCCTTTTGTTCTTTTCTATTAAAAAAAAAGTTGGAAGAAAGAGAGATTCAGAAGGCAGCAGTCTGCAGAGATACGGATTTAGATTTCACGCAACGGAGACATGATGGACTGAACAAGTACGTACGTGTACAACACAATTGACAAATTAGACTTCCTGCATTTAATTATTTTTAAAAAAAAACGATATTATCTTAAATTCCCTCGTCTTTATTATTCACAAACATCATTTTTTAAAGCTTATATTACCACTAAAAAATTTGACTATGGTACATTTATTTAAAATGTCGTATAATATTTTATTAATGAACAAATAGACATAACTTTTATTGATTTAAATAATATCTGTCTAATTTAATGAGTAATAATTTATATTTTTTTGTATATTAGAACGTAGATTATTTCCTAATATGTCAGTACATTGGTTCCACGGTTCTTCAAGATGTTTATGCTAATTAAATGTACTTAATCCATCACTTCATGACTCTGCCGCTTTATGTTATATCCCCTAACAAATATTTCTTGAACAAAATAAAAGGGGATATATAATATATGATGAACATGCATGGCAAACCGAGTTATAAAATGAAGACAGACTCAATACGATCATGTACTACTGCATATATTAATTAGCTGATTAAAAAAAAAACAATGCAAGCATCGTGGCAAATGCCATGATATTTACACTAAAGTAATTTAGAGAGTCAAAAGTAGATTATAGTGTTAATAGGGGATTAGTCTAGAGAATTTAGATTTTTGAGTTTTATGAATTTTCGAAATTTTGAATTTGCAGTGTGTAAAAACAGTTGGATAAATTAACTTTTGAATGGTAAATTTTATATATATTTGAATTATAATATTAGCTAAAAACCCAATTATTACCAATACGAAATTAATTCGTTGAATCATATTGATTCATGGGGTGGTGGTACCTCTAGTTTTTCTAGGGTATTCAACTAGGGTTGAGCTGTATATCCCCATGTGACAAGAGAGCATTAAAAATAGAATAAAAAACAATATGTAATTGTATAGACGCATAACGAAAATATTTCACTAATTGAGAAAATAGCTTTTATGGAGGGATACAAGAAGGAACTGATAATGGTACAAAGGGCCAAATCATGAGGGCCAAATGTTAGGGTTTTGAGGGTGTTGGAAAGCGACTTGCAGATGGGTTTTGTGTTTTTGTTTCTTCGGTGGGGTTTCAACTTTGGATCAATATTATTCATTATATTAATTATTCTCTCACAACTTTTATATATATATATATGGAATTTGAAAAATTTTGTATCCTCCATGAAAGTGAGGACAGACATCATTGTCGTCTTTGTAATCACATCACGAATCACTGTTCCGTTGCATGGATATCTCATTCATTCTCATCCATTAGACCAAACTAATCACAGTTTCATACTTAAGTTTTTTTTTTAATCCGAAAATTCATTAGATTGGAAAGTCGGGTGAATATTTCTCCTCACATTTGGATTTGAACCTGGCTAAAAAATATGTTTTGTATGTTCTCTTACCATTTAGGTCATTCAAACTTAAGTTTTCAATGCTTTAAGTTAAAACTACTAATCAAAATAATTTAAATGAAGGTGGATAGAAAGAGGGGTGAAACACTTAATCATAGGAAATGTATGAACGGTCCATGCAGAACATATACATGTGAGCCAAGATTACATTACATATATCGTCTATTGTCGACCAACCGTTGGGATTTTGATTGATAGATAATTAAAACGAAGAAGATAGAATCAAATGCTAGCGGATGTGTGTGTGTATATATATATATATGGATGATATATACATGGAAATGACTAGATAATACATATGAAAAGAAAATATTCTGTTCCTTCTTTTAACAAAAGTTTATAGCCAGCCAATCGCAAACCACTGACACGACTGTATATTTCTGAAGAAAGAAAAAAAAATCAAAATCTCAATCGATTATAACAAACAATATATACAAAAAACTTTTGCTTGATGTTGTGGGGAAAATCTTGGACCAAAGATTCTGTGATGATTCTTCATTTGGATTTTAGTTTCATCTTCTTTCTGAGCCCTATACGTTTAGGGTTCTTTACGCTGAAGCCAAGAAACCAAAACAAACAAAACATAAAATCAAAATAAGTGTCAAAAGACTATAAGTCGTCTAATGCTACTTATTTAGACCCTCAAAGTACAAAAAAAAAAAAGACATTTCGTTTTTTTGGTTCTTTATCAGTAGGGTTTTGCTATGATATCTCTCTTTAAACCATAAGGTTCATTGGCATTTTAATTGTGTGTGTGTATATATATATATATATTGGATCAAATTAAATCAGAAGAGAATGGAAGGATCTTGTAATGGGTTTTGTTTTCTAGTGAAATTATTGAATGGTTGTTCTTCAACAAAAAAAAAACATTTACGTTTGCGTGTGTGAAAGAATTTCACCACTTGTGGGTAAAAAAGACATGGGAACAAGCAAAGAGAGAGGTGTCCCACAAGCAAAGCCCATTTGTCTTCTTCACGGTGTATCAGTGAAATTTTATTGTAAAAAAAGTTTCTATTTTTACGCGTGGAATTAGTTCATGGAAGTTCCCCTTTTAACATTATAGGATTAAAACTTGGTTTCTACAGTTAATGAATTAAATATATCAACCATTTCAAAAGAAAAAAAAATGAAATGAGTTCTGTAAACTTAATTTGATATCTACATAAGCTAATCCAAATACAAATACAAAAATAGAAAGGATACAAATATAGTCCATTGATCATGATTCTGTTTCAATAATTTTATGTCTTTTAATCCAAATATATAATTATTTTACGACAAAGGAACGAGAATAGCCAAACCGATTTGAACCGAAAAAAATTACAATAATAACCACATTGAATTCGATATAAAATTAAATTGTTATAAATTTTTTAAAATAACTAATAAATCACTTTTTTAAAATAAGTATTTTTATCAATAAAAATCGAATAGGAGAGTTCACAAGCAAAAATAGGGGTCCATGTTTCGGGAAACAGTACACATCCAGGCCGGAAATATATCGGTTTGCTTTTTTCGATTTTACAAAAATAGGTATCAATTAGTTTTTATACCATGTTCGATTACGATTTCAGTAAGGTCCGGTTTCGGTTTTTATTTAAAAAATATAGATTTTCTTTAAAAAATTTAATTTTTCGGAATTTTTAAAAATTCGGTTCGGTTCGGTTTTGGAAAAATCGGTTTTCTAAAAACAATACCGTTCGCAAATTTAGAACGATCCAGATATAAAAAAAAAATACCGTATTTTTCACTTCCATTCCCAAAAACACAGAACCGAAAAGCAAAAGGAAACAAAAAAGTCAATTTGGATTGGACCCAATATTATATATTAAAAAAACACAAAAAAAGGCCGAAGCACATTCATGTTTTTAATTTTTTTTTTTGTGTAATCAATAAGGGCCGAACAAAGTTTTTTTTTTTGGGTGAAAGGGCCGAATGAAGTTATGACAAATATCGATTCAAAAGCCCAAAGTGTGCGATCCCCTCAGCATACACTTGAACAAGTATTTGCTACACCAATTCAAAATCCAACGGTTGTCTCATTCCGAGAAAACACGATTAAGCAGTCCGATTGGTTGACGGAGAGGACGAGACGCGGAATGAACTGGGCGTTATGGTGCATAGGGGTGGACACGGGTTGGATACTTTTTTCGGGTACCCGACCTTGACTTGCCTCCTCTATTTCTCGGTCGGATTAACTACTCGTGGAACGTGTCAAGGGCTCGGCTATCCGCATTGTTTTTGGCCGACGAGAAAAGATGTATCTTATTCAAGGAACGGGCGGCGAGGCGAGTTATCCACGAATAATCGCCCGACCGAAACCTGAATCTGAATTTGATATTCGGGCTGTCGTCGTCGACGTACCCGTGTTAATTTCATCGACAGACGAACACCCGAAATTTCGTACATCCGTCTCCCGAATCAGACAGGTAGTTGCAGTTTCGGGTCCCACGGTTTTGCAACTTTTTGAATTGTAATAATAACAAAAAAAAACCTAATTCGACGGTTTTAAGAAAATATTGGCAAGAATTTCATATATTATTATTATATACAAATAGGCAGAAACACGTTTCCCATATTTGTGTACAAGTAATCTCTCTTTTCCAAACAGTAATCTACACAACAGCGACGCACTTTTATTGTAGGAATATACAAATCCAACCCAAAGAATCAGAACCAACACCACCACCACAGCATATATATATATATATATGTATATATATACACCAGACAAAGAACAACAAAAAAAAAACAGAGCATAAAAAGCAGAGAAAGATATTTCACAGTCGATCTATGAACTCATGGAGCATTCCCTTGGGAGACCCTGCGGAAATCTCTTCCCGTCCGTACAGTAATTGTAGATCATGTAGTTCTTCTGGACCCATCTCAGTCTTGCCTGGCTCGTCGAATCCATCTCCTGAGTGAACCATGAACTGGGTTTCGAGTTGCAGCTCGATCTTCCGTTGGACCAGACACAGGCCTCGACTCTAAGGCTCTTGTAAGAGGCTGTGAACGGTGACTTCGACCAGTCCGTCTTGACGAGGCCGCCCCTCGTGGCCCAGTCGTCTGCGTTCCACAAGCTCGCGTACATCCTCATCGCCTGGTTCTTGGGGAAGAGAACTCCGATCGATTCGAAGTTCTTGAACTCTCTTATCGGCGTTCCATCGACGGAGAATCTGAATATATAGAAATCAAACGACCAAACCATTGATAAGTTGATGCATCCAGAGAGAGATACGGGCTTATGGGTTACGAGTAGAGCAAGTGAAAGACCGAAACTTCGAAGATGGAAGGTCGCTTACATGATCCTTTGAGGGTTCCAGAGAATGGAGTAAGTGTGGAAGTTTGCTGTCGGGTCGAACCAGAGATAGAACTGTTGTTCTTTGTTACCCTTCCCTTGCGTGTAAACATTCGTGTGTAAAATGTAAGGGTCGCCACTTAAATTACCCAAGAACTCGAAATCGATCTCATCCCAAGTCGATCCCGGAGATTTCAGCTGTTAAAAACACAGAATCTTCAGCACTAAATATCATAAAAAAACATCCAGACATGTCAATAACTGTTGATTTATGAACAAGTTTAATTACTTACGTAGAAGGTGGTGACAGTGCCTGCGGAGTTTCCGGGCACGAGTTTGATCTGCATATCGATCTTTCCGAACAAGAACTCGTTCTTGGACTGAAAGCCCGAGCCTGAGGACTTGTCGAGAGACAGAGTGAGGAGTTCGCCATTGTTGAGTATCTTTCCACGACCGTTTCCCCAAGTTATGTCCACCTCCCGGCCGAAATCAGCAGCCGACACGACCAATAACGTCGCAAATATTGCAGAGAGCACAGAGATCTTGAAGATGGCCATATTCAAATTTTTGTTGTGAAAATGTTGAATCTTTTTTTTTTGTATTATGGCTTGAGATGTGTGGGAAATGAATTGAAATGGAGAGGTATATATATAGGGGGGGAAATGAAAGGGGGATTACGTGCAATTGGTTATGGAGTTGGTGAGCCAATGGAAAAGCACACGAAGAGACATTGCATGCAAAGATTGTATACAGCTGGACCCTAATAACCAAAATATCATTTGGTAAGAATATAGCATCCATCCTGATTTTTGAGAAAAAAAAAATTGATTCCTTTTTCACAAATATCTATCTTTTTTTTATGTGGTTTATATATGGTTTTGATGTTGTGAATAGCTTCAATTTTTTTTTTGGTCACGTCGATTGTGAAATCATTTCCTCTCTTTCGAATTTCATTTTGGTAAAATATTAGTTTGATTTCATTGGAGACACAAATGAAAATAATACTAATTTTAGAAACTTTATATGGATTGATTTAAATAGTTAAAGACTAAATTTAATGATATTAAAATATCTAAATTAATACTATTAATCTAGGTCCTTCTAGCCCGAATAGTCTAATTATGCGATTGGATTAAGGATTTGTGAGATGGGAATAAAAGGAGGAAGCAACCAAGAAAGGGATTAGGGTTTATGGGTAAGATCGATTGCGTTATCAAAAGAGCAAGTAGATAGAGATCACACGGTTTCTCTCTCTATTGTTTTTGGTTGGTTTTACATTATGTGATGTTAAAGGGAAGCCAATGAGATGTTTCTTTTCAATTTTTGACACCTATCTGCCATGCTTGGGGCCCACATCTTTATCTTATTTTATATAACATATATAAATAACTAAGCCCAATGACAATTGGGTAATTATATAATGATGTATTAATCTGTGAATCCAGCATCTAGTGCAGGTCAGCCCTATAGACGCATAAAATCATCATATGATAAGATGGTTATTGGAAATATTTTAGAGTTTCTAATTATGAAAAACCGAGCCATTGGTATATATAAATATAGTGGCAACTAGTGGTTATAGGATCATACGTGTGTGTACGTGCATGCATATGTGCACCCACAGGGTGGTGTGTGTATACGTCGTATTTATAAAATCTTGGATTTTAGTGAAAGTTGGAATTTTCAAATGTCGTATAAACTAAGAGCGGTCCAAAGCAAAGTCGATTTTGATGATTATATCAAATTGTGAATTTGTGACAATCATTTGTTAACCTCAAATATCTGAAAAAAAAAAGCATTCGTTCATCTTTTAACTATGTATATTATTTTCCGCAAAGATGGATTAATTTTTTAAAACAATAATTATAAATATGGTTGTTATAAAGAACGATGTTAATTGTCGGTTTAAAGAAATGATTAAATGTTATATATATAGATTTTTAAAACTAAATAAATGCTCATTGTTTTTGACACGCAGAAGTGATATAGACCGCCTAACGAAAACGTCAAAGAGTCATGGCCGAAGGGGATGGACGACGACGACGGTCCATCCATGAATCTTTTCCAGCTGTCGCATTACCAGATTCATTATTAGTGCTTAAACATTTAATTAGTTACAAACACTTAGGCCCCAATTTCATAATTATAGAAATTCCACGTCTCGGGATATGCACAAAAAGTTTAGTCGTGTCAAATCCCAAAACTGAGACTAGGGTGACCCATTTCGGCTCCATTGCCCAATCCGAATTTAATAATATTACTAATTCTTATACAGTACTATTTAAAAATAAAATTTAAAGTCAGAAGTTCGGTTCGGTTCGGTTCGGTCTAATCTAGATCTTATTTTTTCGGTCTGAAAAAAATCGAATTTTCGGACTAGATTTGATTCACACAGGTCCGAAATTCCGATAATTTTTTTAAAAATTTCTTAATTAAAAGAAAGGAATTTATAAAAAATTTTGAGCAGATGGGTATGGTCCGATTCGAGTCCAAAATCTATAGGATCGAGTTTTAGATTTAGTTATATAGATCTGAAAAAAATCGCGTCAATTCGAAATTTTCAGATCGAATGCGGGTTCGGCTTAGCCCGATTGACACCCTGACCAAAACAAATATATTTTTAAATTCAAGAAATACGAAACTATAATCCAATAAAATTGAAAGAAATCCGAAACAATGACAATTAGATATAAGTCAACCTCAATAATGTTTACAAGTAATATGTGCAGAAAACTATATTAGTTATTGGATAACAAACAAAATTCATTCACAGTATTGGGTTCTCTCAAACTTTAGAAAATTTATTCGTCAAGATAAACATTAAATTCTATAGTATATATAAATAAAAATATTATAAAATAATTTCTTATTTTGAAAATTAAGTTTTAACTGTAAAAATTGTCTTTCGTATTTGTTTGTCTTTAAGTTCTAAGCCAAGCGATTTCTCTATAAAAGCATAGAGATGTTTAGTACCCTATTAAGAAAGACAAAAGAAATCTATCAATTGTTTCATAAAAATTGGGATGATATTTCGTTTGTCTAAAATCTACTCCACAATTAATATGTACCCTTATCTAAAAATAAAATAAAATAAACCGTATATATATATATATGTGAAAATATGAGGTATACTATAACTAAATGTGTAATCAAAATTTAATTAGTTAAACATATATATATATATATGTACTTTCATAACATTTGAAATCATAGTATAATTGATATCGTAGTGTAAAAGGGTGACGTTAAATTTCAAAAACTAGCAATCAAATATGTACAACAACGTTCGCGGATAAGATTACAATATAAACATAATTATTTATATTGTATGATAAACATGAAACCAGTTGTAAATTCCTTGATTGACCTGAGAAATAAATATCACCGGAGATGAGGACAAAAGCGTCATTTTCTTAAACAGCCTAACTCCAGTGGATAAGGATACTTTCACTTGGCTCTTCGGTCCCTTTCATTTAGTAGTTATATTGTCAAATAATATACTATTACAAGCTCTAAATTTAATGTATTATTGTGGTTTAACGCTTAATTTTGTTCTAATAATTAAAATAGATAATCATCCATGTGTGCATTATAAATTATTCTTATGGATTTTGTTAATTACTATTCAACAATAATTAAGTTAGATGGCTTTGAGTTCATGTTGGGTGCATGGGATTTGATGTCTTCCACAAACAAAACATCAACCTTAACTAATGTTAAAAAGAAACAAATCTTAATATAGGGATTCCAAACAAAAAACATAATAATAATAATAATAATAATAATAATAATAAAAACAAATATTTTGTTTTATGCACTTGTTAAGACATTAGAAACATAAAACATGAACGTTTCAATGGATTGATATAATCGTTTCAATACATCAAGCTGTAAAAAAAACAACAACTCGTGGTTTTGATCAAACATGTGCTAATCCGTCATAGCATACCACGATATCAATATATTATTAACAGTTATACCATAAGGTTTTAACGCATGACTAAAGACTCAAACCCTAAATTATGGCCCAAAAATATCATAAGGATTCCAATTTATTATATATATATATATTCAGGCGGGAATTCATATAGACTTAATGTTTCTAGTGAACTCAAATATCATGTATAGTTCATCTTCATGATATCCGGAGCATAATCCTATATTATCATCCTTAATCGATTTTTTGAATCATCATAGCCGCCATGGTGTACGCCATATATATTCATGACATATTTTTTACTTGACGTCACGGATCGCCATACATAATTGTTAACATTGGTTCCAAACCGGAATCTGAATTCGTAAACGGATTGTGTCAGCGCGTGTTCTTTTATGCGCTCATTTTAGTACAAGAATCCATCAAGAATGAAACCTAATCAAAATATAAAACAGGCCTAAATCTAACGCCATAACCAAACCCTGGGATCTAACCACGAGCGTAAGCCATAAATCTGAATTAGGGTAGAGATAACCGCACAGGTCAGAGAGGGTCGCGTGGGCTTTGTTTGTAAAAGGTTTGGCAGTGGGCTTGCCCTTGGGGCACACGAGGCCCTCAATTTCAATCATAGTGTTAACTTAATTATATTTTATCATAACGCTACAAAAATGGTTTAATTAATGAGTATATATATTTTTCTTAAAAATATTAAGAACTTGGGAAAAATGGGAAAAAATGATTTTTAAAATATCTCATAATTAGTTATTTGAACTGATTTTAATATCAATATATAATATAAAACCGAATATTCTCAACAAAAAAAACTATTACTTAATATTTTGATTTGAATATAGCCCTTACAATAGTTAAACAAATGCTATAAACCCCTAACCTTTTCCCACTTCACCTTGATGCCAAATGAAACTTCACCAAAGAATATTTCCTAAAAATCCTCATTAAAAATGGGCATGGTTAGATAATTTAATCAATAAAATCTCTATTAGAATATATATATACATACATATATATATATATATATATATATGGAGAGAGAGGGATTGTATGTGATATAAATATTCATTTGTTTGTATTTTCAATAATTCATAAATGAAAACACAATTACTACCTACAGCTAACAAAATAAATACGGGATTAGGCCGAAATCTGTAACCGGAAACATAATGCTGCTACAGCATATAACTGTTATTAAATATTGCGCGAAAAAATTGATAATTGTTATTATTGGGGTGAGATTTGTATGGACCGGACCTTGGCAGAATCCCGTGGCCACCGAAACCGCGTTTGGACACATTATTAAAGAGAATGTGACTATGCAACAGAAGAAACAGCTAGGCTAAATGAATAATTATGGACACCAAAATCTCATAATGGCTTTTGATCAACCATGAAACTTCGGCTCCTCTTTCCATTACGCACAAATCCATCATCTATATATACTTCACTCGTAACTCGTAAACTCATCTCTCCATCGCCATTGAAACCAGAAAAAAAAAAAGCTTCATTCAACAAAAATGGCGGTTTCTTGCTCTTTACGTTTTGTGTTCTTTATGCTCTCTCTGATGGCTACTCACGTTTTGGTAGCTTTTGCGGGTAACTTCCAAAGGGATGTTCAGATAACTTGGGGAGATGGCCGAGGAAAGATTCTCGATAACGGGAATCTTCTCGCTCTCTCGCTCGACCAATTCTCCGGTTCGGGATTCCAGTCCAAGAACGAGTTTCTCTATGGTAAGGTCGAGGCGCAGATAAAGCTTGTTCCCGGTAACTCTGCTGGTACAGTCACCACTTTCTATGTAAGTAAACATCTTCATCCTCTGATATTTTATACATGGTGAAACCATAATATTATATTATTCAAAGACTGGTTATGATTTTTTCTTATCGTTTAGCTGAAATCTCCGGGATCGACATGGGATGAGATCGACTTCGAGTTCTTGGGCAACCTCAGTGGCCATCCCTACACTCTACACACCAATGTCTACACACAAGGCAGAGGAGACAAAGAACAACAGTTCCATCTCTGGTTCGACCCGACAGCCGATTTCCACACTTACTCCATCACTTGGAATCCCCAGAGAATCATGTAAGTATATATCTTTCAGACCGTCTTGTTTTGTAATAAACATCGTACCATACTGTATTAAACACGTACCATGATTTGCTTCTCTTCACTTCCAGATTCACAGTGGACGGGATCCCGATAAGAGAGTTCAAGAACTTCGAATCGATCGGAGTACCGTTCCCGAAGGACCAACCGATGAGGCTATACGCGAGCCTTTGGGAAGCGGATGAGTGGGCCACAAGAGGAGGTCTGGTCAAGACAGACTGGTCGCATGCTCCTTTCATGGCCTCTTACAGGAACTACAACGAGAACGGATGCGTCTGGTCCAACGGAAGATCGTCTTGTCCGGCCGACAAGGCGTGGTTCTCGCAGGAACTCGACTTCAAGGGCAAGAACAGGGTGAAATGGGTCCAGAGACGGTACATGGTTTACGATTACTGCACCGATAGGAAACGTTATCCTCAAGGAGCTCCTCCTGAATGCAAGATGGCTTGATTCCTCCCTCTGTTCAATCATTACATTGATTATCTTTTTATGGTCTTTGTGTATTTAAATTCATGTGGTGTGATCGATATTACTTTGTTTCATTCGTGATGAAGAGTGAATTTCATTCATATTGTATGAAATAAAAAAGAATATAACTAAAATTAGTCTTGTAATTACACTTGCTTCCCTTGGCGCGGTCTCATCCCATATGGATCCGAAAGAAATAAAAAAATCGGTACCGTTTTCGAATCGAAACATACAAGAAAACTCGATACCATTCTCAAACCGAATAGAAAAACTTAATACTGTTTTCGAACTGAATCGTTTAAAAAACCTGAACGGTAACGTTTTTAAAGAACCAAATTGAACCGAATCTTAAAAAACTCAACCCCCGATAATTTCTTAATAAAATATAGATTTTTCTTATTAAATACCGAAATCAAACCAAATATAATAACCGATTGACATATTTTTTTTATAGAATCGAATGACACGAACCGAATACCAAAAAATAAATCCCTATTTTGTATACGTATGTATATTTAAAACTATACATGTACATAAACAGTATGCAAATATATAAATGGGTTTAACGGGGTTATTATGACGTCGATTCAACTCAGTCTGTTTATTCTTTAGAGCCAAATGGATTGGATCCGACCAGTAGAGGTTGGAGCTTCATGGGCAATGATGATGCGTGCCCTTTTGGCTTTATTTATTTATTTATTTAATTTATATCATTAGGTCACATACTTTGATTAATTTGGACGGTCCTTCATGCTATTAATTTATAATATAAAGTTTCACACGGTTTCGCTCTGATATATTATGCTTATGCATGTATCTGTGTCTCCATACGTATCCTCGGCGCCGTTCTTGTTCAAATTGCCAAAAGCTAGCCCAGTGAACCCTGAATTTTAGGCAAAAAAAATAAAAATAAAATTAAACCTTTATTTTTCATTTGTATCTAATTAAATATTTCACATAGATACATCATCATACACCATTGTTTTTGCGAAATGTTAGGTAAATAAATGAATTTAAAAAGAACAAACATGTCTCATTCTCTCTATATATATATCAGTGTGAATGTGATTGAAGAATAATATATATATTTATATAGATATATCATAAAATATGTGTATTTATTTATTTTTCATCTTCGACGAGTACAAGAGAGAATTCAGTATAACGTATTCGTAATCTTTTGTCATTTATTACTCACATTGTGAACAAAACACAAAACGAATCCAAATAAATAACAAATCAAAGAGCTTTTAGATACACAAAAGAACAACGATCGAGACAATGCAAGAACCAGGGACACTACGAAGAAGAAATCAAGACATGTTGCACTCACGAGGAGCACCTTGAGGAAACCTCTTCTTGTCGGTGCAATAATTATAAACCATGTACCTCCTCTGCACCCATTTGACCCTGTTCTTGCCCCTGAAATCGAGTTCTTGCGAGAACCAGGCACCGCCAGGGCGTGAACCGGGCGAGTTAGCCGGGCAAGACGATCTTCCGTTGGACCAGACGCATCCGTTCTCGTTGTAGTTCCTGTAAGAAGCCGTGAAAGGAGCATGCGACCAGTCTGTCTTGACGAGACCTCCTCTTGTGGCCCACTCATCCGCTTCCCAAAGGCTCGCGTATAGCCTCATCGGTTGGTTCTTCGGGAACGGTACTCCGATCGATTCGAAGTTCTTGAACTCTCTTATCGGGATCCCGTCCACTGTGAATCTGGTAGTGAAGATAAGCAAATCATGGTACGTGTTTAATACAGTATGGTACGATGTTTAATACGAAATAAGGCGGTCTCAAGATGTATGTGCTTACATGATTCTCTGGGGATTCCAAGTGATGGAGTAAGTGTGGAAATCCGCTGTCGGGTCGAACCAGAGATGGAACTGTTGTTCTTTGTCTCCTTTGCCTTGTGTGTAGACATTGGTGTGTAGAGTGTAGGGATGGCCACTGAGGTTGCCCAAGAACTCGAAGTCGATCTCATCCCATGTCGATCCCGGGGATTTCAGCTAAACATTAAGAAAATCATATATAATCAGTCTTTGAATAATACTATATTATGGTTTCATCATGTATAAATTATCAGAGGATGAAGATGTTTACTTACATAGAAAGTGGTGACTGTACCAGCAGAGTTACCGGGAACAAGCTTTATCTGCGCCTCGACCTTTCCATATAGAAACTCGTTCTTGGACTGGAATCCCGAACCGGAGAATTGGTCGAGCGAGAGAGCGAGAAGATTCCCGTTATCGAGAATCTTTCCTCGGCCATCTCCCCAAGTTATCTGAACATCCCTTTGGAAGTTACCCGCAAAGGCCACGGCAAAGCAACTCACTAACAGAGAGAGCATCAAGAACAAGAATCTTGAGGGGCAAGAAACAAGAACTCTAGACGCCATTTTAGGATTCAAAACCACAAAAAGGGTAATGAATAGATCGGAAATCACAGGCTGTATGTATTGTTGTTTATGGTTATTGGGTGATGAAATTTAGATTCAGAGAATGAAGTATTTATAGTGGAGGGAGGCTTCGTTTGAAGGAAGGAGATATGGAAACTTCATATATGTTGTAAATATATATTTGATGAGTTGGCTCCAATATTGTTTTGGTACGTCGTCACAAAATGTGCCTTTTTTTTCTATGTAATAATTCATCACGCGTTTTGGACTTTGATTTTTGTTTGGTTCACTCGGCACGGTTATCGGTCCGGTCTTTGTTTTGGGTTTCGACGGTTATTGGATCCGGTTTGTTTTGTTTTTAAAAATTCGTTTTTTTATTTGGGTTATTTTGTTTTTAATATTCTATTAGGTTTAATGAATAACGATTTTTAAAAAATGTGATTGAAATCAATAGAAGATTTTATTTCTATTTTGGTTCGGTTTCGGTTTGGTTTGGTGTCATTATTCTCTTCCAAATCTGCAAGGGTTCAGCCACCGCCGCCGTGATGAGAGATTCTCAACATATATTTATTCATAATATGAATTTTAACATAATATAGGGACCGGTTGTTACAAAAACTCACCACCACGACAATAATATCATTAGACATAATGATTTCTCAGTTAGGGAGATTTCATCATTATTCATTAATTATATAGTTGTAAACACGAGTCTAGATACAAGACTTGTTGTTCTTAATGTTTTTTTTATATATTTAATTTCATTAGAGTTGCATCAAATAATGATTTGTGAGCCCATCATATGGCATGATATCATGTAGAATTTATATATTATTATATTTTCTTCTTTTTGTCTATTTTTTTTATTTATCTTATACAATTACAGTTTTGAATATATTCATCTCAAATCCTAAACTTTGACTGATAAAAACTACAAGATATGTAATATTTTATTAACTATTCAATGTCACGATGCAACAAATATGTAACGACTAGTATCATGCTTCGATATTTATTGCTTGCATATTGAACAAGAAGCCGATTTTGTAAGTTTGGATATTTAGAAAAAAAAAACCATATTTGTATAAATTGGAATACTATTTATTTCTCCACCTTTAAATGAACCCCATAGTTTTGATCCCATTATCTGTAATTAAGCCCATATATGTATTATGCTATATGGTGGTTATATATACAGTCAAAATACAATGACAAGGTTAAAACCCTAGCTCATTAATTACATCAACCTTATTGTATGGTCGTGAAGAAATCTATGGTTTGCTATTATGGATTATGTGTGTATAATTTTTTGGACAAAAATAAACTATCAACTATCTCATTCACACAAAAAACCTTCTACTCAAAATTTGTTATAATAAATCATCAACTATTATTTTTGAACCAACATGATTTTTGTAATTGAAAAAATTATGCCTCGAGATTCTTTGGCCGTGGGCCCCCCGACAATGGACGATGATACTACCAAATCATATTATATATGCGAGTTATATACGATTTTTATTAAATTGATCAGATTCAGAAGTGAAAGCCAATGTTAAATTATTGCATGACAAAAGCCTACAAGATTCTTTATATATATATATATATATATATACATAGGAAAGGGTCGAGATGGGATGAGATCGATTCCGAAATCTTGGGCCGGAAATAGGCCAGAGACTATTAGATCTCCCAAGGAAAAATATTATTTTTGTTCATTCATGATGCTATATGTAAATATATAAGTATTGGTGCAATGTGTAATAAATGTGATTAGTACTTTCATAGTGTTACACCTAATAATCTTATAAGAAGAAACAAAAAACACAAAACAGAACAGAGAGACATAATAACAATAATAAGCAATCAAGCTTTCAGTTCAGTTTTTGCCAACAAGAACTGCGACAGCTACTTTCTAGTGTCTGCCTCTTAAAAACAAACATTACAAAGCTCCAAGTGGAAATTAACCCAAACAAGCATGAAGGGAAGAAAAAAAACTTAACTGTACATGTAAAACTCTCCAAGAAGCATTTGGATGCTGCTTCGGAATGGAGAGAGATCGGAGACGAAATGAACCGAGCGAAAATCCCCGGGATTCTGAATCTCCTTCGTGTCAAGAGTCAAACCCGAGCTATTACTCCCCATCTTCTAGTTCGACAATCCGAGCTCGCCTTTCAGCTGCTTTCCTTCTGACAAAGAATCCCCATCTCATGGCTGCTTTAATCTTCAGCCACCCGACAACAGCCTTTCCCGATTGAGTCCGGTCCTCGAAATTGGGCATAGGAGAGTGAATGAACGAATGGAATCCATAACCGTCGTCGGGCACATTGGAGGCTTGCTGATCTCCCATGCTAAAGAGTCTCAACAGCTGCTGCATATCATCGTTCTCGAGAATTTCATTACTCCTGGCCCGAATCTCTTCCTCTGATAAGAACTCCTCAGCTCCTCTTTCGTGGGTGTTTGACCAATCATCAAAAGAGTTGATATTAGAAGGCTGTGCCCGCATAGTGGAGGAGGAAACCGGCGTCGTTTGGAATCCCGTGGGAGACAACTGTGGAGGACCGAGTGCCAGTCTTACAGCACCATTGCTGTTCATCATGCTTTGGGATTCATTAGGATTGCTGATCAAGTGGTCTTGTGTTGCAAACGATACATTCCCAAAGTGAGAATATGAGCTAGAATTATCAAGCTGGGATTGAGATTGGTAACCAGCAGCAGGGTTTCCATCGTACACTGAAGCTGAAAGATGAATAAATGGCACAGTTTTGAGCCAGAGAGATACGGGGATTTTTCTAATTTCAAAAAAAAAAAAACTGTTCGTGGTTATCGGAAATTACCTTCAACCGTTATGTCTGAATGAGATGAAGACTGCTGGCCCGGAATTGCCATCGGCATGGGATAATTCTCATTACCCAACAAGAGTTGTTGGCTTTTTGACGAACCTGCTTTCCTAGCTTGATTGAAATCCATCAGAGACTGGCCATCATACTCTATGACTTGATCCCAGTTTTCATATGCTTTCTTCACCAACCCATCAACGTAAACCTGCATAAAGTAGCAAACTTTTACTATTTCAGACAAGCAACAAACATCACTAGACATCTTAAGAATATAACGATTGTAAAGCTAAAGCGAGAACATAGCTGCCTTTTGATTTGATGTCAGAAAACCCGACAAACCTTTTGATTGTCCGAAAGAGAATCAGCCGGGAAATATTGCTTTCCAGAAATGAGGCCACTGAGCTCATAAATGTTGTTGAAAACAACACCGATATCCCTCGATTCTTCAGGATAATAAACGTAAAGCATTCCGCTCATGGCGCATGTTTTTGCATGCTCCACAAGTGCATCCCACATCCTGTTCGACATGCCACTTCCAAGAATCTACAATCAAAGATAGAGAAATCAGGATATACGTATAAATATATATCGCAAGTATAAATAACTGGACCTGGATTACTGTAATCCACTTACAGCCCGCAATTTCTGAGAATCCTTGACCAAAAGCCTCAGGAAGTCTTCAACATTGTATATTCCTGCTTTATTCAGTTTCTTGTGGAAAGCCCCATCCTTCCCGATCTTCTCCAACCTCCAAACCTCATCGTTCAATGCAGGTGGATAATGCTTCTTATACACTGTTACAAGGAGCCATTGAGGAAGGAAGATATACAAAAGCTCTAAATGTGATGTGACACGAAGAAAAAAATTCAAATACACCAAGCATCACCGATACAAACGAAAATAGATAATCGAATATGGAAAAGCAGAGACTTACACTCTCCACGATGGTCCTTCACAGTGAAAGCTTCTGTCTTTGCCTCACGTATACGCATCCCCTCACAATACCCAGATGCGATCTTCAAACCTAACCTGAATTTTCTGCATCTTATCCAACTCGAGTTGTCTGTAAAAATAAGCTCTCCCAAAGTCCCCACACCTTCTTTCAGAGTCACCTGCAAGTCACCAGTCAGAAGAGGTCTCTTTGTCGACAGTTCTCTTTCACCAAGTGGCTCTCAAATTCTTCTTCGGTCCAACCCTCATCATCTTCCTTGCTGAATTCACCGTCCAGCACTACAACATCGAGCTTTGCAGAAGCTTCAGATCCTGTCGTAAGCACATGCCCAGTTGTCGAATCAACCAACACAACATGGATTGCAGCACCTTGTTCCCCTTCTACTTTTCCTCCAGTAAATAAAGGAACAGACAACCTCGACCTGAACTGCAGCTGCAAATTCCTCCCGTCGAGACCCTCAATTTGTTTTGGAGAAGACCTGATAATAACTCAACCATTAGAGAAAAGGGTAATTAGCCAATTATTCAAACAACTGATTCAATGTTTTCTCCAGAAAAAAAAATATATCATTTCACCTTCCATTAAGTGTAGCAGGGCCTAGTTTGGCTAAGGCTCGTTCCACTTCTTCACTTACCTTCACAATTGCAAGAAAACCAGTAAGCAAAACCATGGGCAGAACATCAAATGGGACAAAAGTTAGAAAAGAAAACAAAAAGCCGAAGCCTTGGAGCTTACAACGCGGCGAAGAATCGGTTCCAAAGACGAGCAAATCCTCTGCAAACTATCCATCTTCAGGGCCTCCACGATTACACTGCAGAAAAAAAAACATAACTCATTGTCATTGATTCTCACGTCAAAAAAATTCTCAAAGCATACTATTTTCCCATGGATCTGTCTGCAAAAGACCAATACTCAAACAACTATGTGCTGTATTTGACTAATTCCTACTTCACAAGCAAACTCTAACAGTCAAACACAGGTTACATTACTTAGCAAAGACCAACCTTTACACTGAACCCAGAATCGGAAATCTCAAAATCACCATAAACACGGGTTCATGTCCGATTAATCAAACTGAAACATGGACCCAGAAAGGCAAAAGGCAACAGAAATTCGGAGATTACCTGGCAAGAGCAGGTCGCTTCCTCTCCGTCTGCGGATTTTCTTCCTCCGATTTCCTCTTCCCTCTGCTCATACTATTAGTCCTCTCCATATACCTAGTCTGCATATTTTCCCCAATTTGCGCCGACAAAATCCCCCGATTTTTCCGATCCTACAGATCAAAACCAGCAAAAACCCTGATCCGATTTCAAACTCTCGACCCAAATAAATTCACGAATCGAGCTTTAAACTCCTCCTAGATCTCCCTCTTTCAGATCAAAATCGGAGGATCCCACACGATCGATCCAACAAGATAGAGTCAACAAACGTTTCCTCACAAACCCAACTGAAAGCAACGCAGGAAACAGGGGAAAAAAGTAACAGAAACAATCAGGGGGAAGGAAGAAATGCTCGACGAATTGGCGTTTGGATAGAAAGAAAACGAGAGAAAATCGAAGACCTTTAAACCAAAGGGGCTTGTGGTTACGTCTCTGATTAGTCCACTAAGACTAGTTTAAGCATTCCGGGTCGCAATTCAGTGCGGTGAGGACTACGATGGACTCTCATTGCCGCCACTATGCTGCTTATTGATTGGTTGACGATCTAAGACCGGCGGCTAGTGGGCCTATTTTAGCACATGTTTTTCTTCCTTGTGGATAATTAAAATAATATGCATACAAACCAATCTTTGAATTTTGACCTTAAAATAACACAACTACTAGTATTTTAATGGAAATGTGAATAATAATACACGAGCTATGCAATCAATAACAATTGTGAATAGGGATAAGGTTCGACATGATCTATATACGTATCTATCTTTTTTTGGTAGACCTCTATATTTAAACATTATAAAATTGTAAAATGAGATGTAAAGTTTATGTGTTCTGACACAAATAAATTTAAAATAGTTACCATTTTATTTGATTACAAGCAAAAGCATTGTTTTAAAAATATCTAAATCATGGGTGCCGACAAAAATGTCTAAAGGATGGTGGAGAAAAAAATGTAAAATATTTCTATCATTATTATTATGTGTGGAATATTTTCAATCACATCTAAAAGGTTGTTTTTTAAAACACTCTAAATCTAAGGTGGATTTAGAGGGGCTGGTGGTTTGGTTAGTTAAAATTAAATTAGTTTTTTAAGTAAAATTAAATTGAAGAAAATCTAATAATGTATCAACGAAACTTTTTTAAAAATAAATATTTTTCGATTAAAATGGAAATCCAACGGAATCGAATCATATTGAACTAAAACTACTAAAAAATTAAATTCGAAATTGAAGAAATAAAAATTGAACTAAAACCCTGAATATGTTAACATAGTCCTAAAAGAGATTATTACCACAAAGTAATACAATAAAAAAAGCATACTATACCATTTACATATGTATAAAACTTAATTAGAAATAAATTTTCAACCTACTGATTAATATTTTAGTGTTTTTAGTACTGTAATTAATATAGAATTTTTTTTTTAAATAAATTGGATAAAACTGATTTTTTCATCATAAATCGAAGTAGGATAAAATGGATAAATTGATATGAATAGGAAAAGATAAAGCAGGGAAAAAAACTGAAAATGTGCAAAAATAGAAAAAAGAAAATGGATTAAATAGCAAAAAAATAAATAAATGTTGAATGAACAGAAAGGCTGGGCCTGGGCCGATTCGTCCGCACTGCCAAGCCACCTCCGGCGTTCCCTCTCGATCCCCGGCAACTCATCCTCCGGCTCCGCCGCCGCCCTTCAGATGACCACCGACGTCGCCGAGCTTCGGCCTCTGTCTTCCCGCTCTGTCTTCCTTGGCGTCGACGTCGGCACCGGAAGCGCACGCGCCGGTGATTATTCCGTTCTGCTCCCGTTCAATTGGATGGCATCGTTCTCGTCGATTATGAAAACTGCGTGGTTTGGATTGTAGACATTAGTCGTGGCGATGAATCGGATTGTCAGTTTTATCTCTGTGTTGTTGATTTAGTTCTATGATTTTTGTTTTGATCGATTGTTCTGGTTTGAAGTCGAATCGCATGTACTGTTTCAATATCCTCGTCTACCTGAATCTGTCCGATGATCGTACTTCGTTATGATATCTCAACGATGCTGTGTTTTGTTTCAAATTTCTAATTTTTTTTCTTCAGTGTGTCTTAGTATCAGTCTTTTACCCTCAATATCGTGTCTTGATGAGTTCAATTTACTGCGTAATTGTTATATCCCGTGTTTAGCGTCTTCTATGGATTTCTTAATTTGGGAAGTTGAAAGGTGGACCCTTTTTTCTGTGATTTAAATAGGTTTCTAGTGCTCAAAAAACCAAGAACGGAACAAAAAGTTGGATTTTTGTCTGAATTTCACTGCTTAATGCAGGTCTGTTCGATGACAAGGGAAAGCTTCTAGGCTCTGCTAGTAGTCCGATACAGATCTGGAAAGAGGGTGACTGTGTCGAGGTAATGCAACAATATTAATGTTAAGAAGTAGGTGCTGAGTTGAAAACCGGTATGTGTTGGAAAAGGTTTAGATGACATTTTTCTTGTGTATGTATTGGGAGCAGCAATCTTCAACCGACATCTGGCATGCGGTTTGTGCAGCAGTCAAATCTGCTTCCTCTCTTGCAGAAGTTTCGGGAGAAGATGTGAAAGGAATAGGATTTGCCGCGACATGCTCGCTTGGTTTGTAACATCTCTTTATGAACTTTTCTGTTTATGTCTTATGCTGGGGGAAAGAACATAACACGAACAGATGTTTTCTGTTTACAGTAGCGGTGGATGCTGATGGAGCCCCTGTCACGGTGTCTTGGAGCGGTGATTCAAGAAGGAATGTTATAGTTTGGATGGACCACAGAGCTGTGAAGCAAGCAGAGAGAATCAATTCATACAATTCCCCCGTCTTACAGTACTGTGGTGGGGCTCTTTCTCCGGAAATGGAGCCACCCAAAGTAGGTGGAAACATGTGGATAAATCTCTTTCTGCTTGTTTTTTATATGCTAAAAATTTCACTTGTGCAGCTTCTGTGGGTGAAAGAAAATCTACAGGAATCTTGGTCAATGGTGTTTAGGTGGATGGACTTGAGTGATTGGCTGTCCTATAGGTATCCGGGGATTCTCTGTGCCTTTTGCTCGTAGCATATTATAATTCTCTTTGTATTCCCTGATTTTTCCCTTTTTTCCTTCTTTGTAGAGCTACTGGAGATGATACCCGTAGTTTGTGCACGACTGTGTGTAAATGGACATATCTTGGTCATGCTCACATGCATCAGGTGAGTGAGAAGGATTCTCGAGATATGGAAGCTTGTGGATGGGATGATGATTTTTGGGAAGAGATTGGCTTAGGTGATCTTGTGGATGGGCACCATGCTAAGATCGGTATGCATATTTTTGTTTACTTTGATTGTCGGGAGAGCTGATAAACAGTGGAACATGTACATTTTTACCTTGTAATGACATTCTATTCATTGTTAATTAGGAAGAAGTGTAGCTTTTCCTGGACACGCACTGGGTAACGGTCTGACTGCAGCAGCTGCTCAGGCAAGAAGTTCTTTACCAAGCTAGTCACGTTTATCTGAAGTGACCATATCATATGGACATTGCATACAAATGTAGAGCTATATAGCCGCTTAGAATGAGCTTTTTGTGTGCATATATTGGCTTTGCATTGTGGAATTTTCTTTTTATTCTAAAGGTGTTTCCTAACTATTAGGAACTCGGTCTGGTGGCTGGAACTCCAGTTGGGACTTCACTCATCGATGCTCATGCTGGTGGTGTTGGGGTAATGGAAAGTGTTCCAGTGTCAGAGTCTCAACCAAAAGGTTTTGTTTATTTTCTCTCAGCTTCTTTGTGATTATCATCTAGTATCATGCAAAATGTTATAATTTACAAGAATTGTCATGTTCAGAGTCCAACCCTGATGCCTTATGCTCCCGGATGGTCTTGGTTTGTGGCACGTCCACTTGCCATATGGCTGTTTCTCGTGAAAAGCTGTTTATTCCTGGGGTTTGGGGACCTTTCTGGTCAGGTATATTGGAACTTGGTCGGCCTGCTTTTTCTCTTTCGTCAACTGTCATTTCATCCCTATGGTAGATTCAATACTAATCTCATCTCTGTTTTTTCTACAATCGAAATGTAGCTATGGTCCCGGAGTACTGGCTTACAGAAGGTGGACAGAGTGCCACTGGTGCTCTACTTGACCATATCATTGAAAATCATGTTGCCTCTCCTCTGCTTGCAAATCGAGCTGCTTCCCAGAGTATATAACCAAATCTTTTCATCCACTTTTCCTTCTGTAGGCTCATCTATACAGCGCGTTGGTCTATCATATGTTTTTTTTTTAATTGTTTTTCTTGGTATTTCACAGATATTTCTGTGTTTGAACTGATGAACAACATGCTGAAATCAATGGCACAATATAGAAATTCTCCGTTTATAGCCGCCCTTACTGCAGACTTGCATGTATTTCCCGACTTTCACGGGAACAGGTGAATGGTGAATAGAAATAAAGCTTACTTTTGCAATTTTAGCCGAAGTATATATCTATTAGAGGAGTTATTGATTCAGAGCTATAATTACAGGTCCCCGATTGCAGACCCGAAATCAAAAGGGGTAATATTCGGCATGACACTCGACACAAGCGACAAGCAGTTGGCTCTACTATACCTTGCCACTGTTCAGGGTATTGCTTATGGTACCCGCCATATTATAGAGCACTGCAATTCTCATGGTCACAAAGTAAGTTATCTTCCTTTGCTTCAGATATATCATTCCCTACTCTAGGAGGAAGAATCCAGGGCATGAATTCAATCCATGAGATCATGAAAGGGGCATGAATATACATAAAGAATATAAATAGATCGTCTTTAATCTAAATTTGTTGTGATAGATTGACACCCTGCTTGCATGCGGAGGCCTTTCAAAGAACCCATTGTTCATTCAAGAACACGCTAATATCACCGGTACAGTCCCAAAACTGTGTTTATCTTATATGAATCAATCACGATATCTGGAATGATCTGTTGAATCTTGCATTCTTTTTATTGGAAATTTCTGCAGGTTGCCCAATTATACTGCCCCGAGAGAGCGAGTCCGTTCTTTTGGGAGCAGCGATTCTAGGGTCGGTCGCTGGAAAAAAGTATCCAAGTGTCCATGAAGCCATGAAAGCTCTGAACGCAGCCGGTCAAGTACGTAAACCCTCTTGTTAAATTGATTTCTTGAGCGCCAAGCAACTGTTCTCCGAGATTGTAGTCTTTATAGTTTGATCATATATTAAAAAAAAAAAAAAGTAATTACATGATTAGAAATCATGGTGTTATAAAATTGCATAAGTGGAACATGTTGGAATTGCAGGTGATCCATCCATCATCAGACCCTAAAGTGAAGAAGTACCATGACGCCAAGTACCGTATTTTCCGTGACCTCTACGACCAGCAACTCTCTCACCGTTCCATCATGGCCGAAGCTCTCTCGTCATGAAAACGAAAACTGAAAAACATTGTGTTTTTTTTTTATATATATATACATAATTGTTTTCAAGCTTTAATTGGATTGATTTTGAAAAAGGATCTATGTCTAGACCCATGTAATGTTTTCTTTTATAAAATTATGGTTAGATACAAAAGAAATATATTATTTTAACGGATTAATCACTAGACTTTATCAAATGGGTACTACTGTACAATGACTCTTGGATTACGATTCGAGAGATTGTTACAACAAACAAAGACATGGACCGGATTATTTCATTCATTAGGTAAATTTGGTTTTCTTTGTATCAATATTCATAAAGATTTAATATTTGGATATTGTCATTGATTTTTAGAATATATATGTTACGATTGCAAAATTTCTCCAAAGCATTTGATTTAAATGACTTTGGCAGAGGGTGGGTAGACAACATTAATGCTGTTTTAACTCAAACTAAGATATTTGACTGACTATGATAATTTAAAATGCCAAGTGGTAGTAATAACTAACAAAATATATTTGCATTATACAATTATAACTATTGTACGGTACATCAAATTTTAACATTCTATCATATTTTTCATTAAGAAAAACATCTATATATGTGGTTTTTGATTAAACTATATACCCTGCATACTATACGCAGAGACTAAATTTTGAATGTGTTGCATAAACCGAATTTGTACACAACTATTTAAAAGATACGTTTCTATATAAATGGGACAAGAGATCATCATAACAAAAAAAAAATATGAATATTGATTTGAACGCATACTTAAATTCATACAGAGATGCATAGAATTCTTCAGAAATTCTTTAAGCGTTCCTATAAAAATTAAAGTGTGGGAGACATAATCGAACATGGATGCCACTCAATCATTGAGCTGACATCATGGATCCGTCAAACATTATACATATATATATATATATATATATATATATATATAGAGAGAGAGAGAGAGAGAGAGAGAAACACCACAGCAGATTTCTCTACAGTTCACCAACAATGGCGACTCCGATTCACGTAATGACCAAATCCATTCGCAGCATCCTAACGCTGATAACGCTCGTGACGCTCAATGCCAACGCCCAATACGAAAGCCAGTTCATGAACCCGCAGAACGCAGCCAGGACCCATCTGAGGCTAAACCCACTCGCGTGGGACAAACGTTTGGAGCGTTACGCAATGTGGTGGGCTAACCAGCGGCGAAAAGACTGCGCCTTGATCCATTCCAACGGTCCGTACGGAGAGAATCTCTTCTGGGGTTCGGGCAAGAACTGGTCTCCCGTTCAGGCAGCGAACGGGTGGTTGTCGGAAGCGAGGAACTATAACTATAACGATAACGCGTGTAACGGGGGTGAACGGATGTGCGGTCACTACACGCAGATAATGTGGAGGGAGACGCGGCGGATAGGATGCGCACGTGTTCTCTGTGACGGCGGACTAGGCGTTTTCATCATCTGTAACTATGATCCTCCCGGTAACTTCCTCGGTCGGAGGCCTTACTGAATAATTTTTTTTTGAAGACTTTTTTTTTTTTAAATTAAAAATGTCAAATCTTGTTTTTCTTGTTTATCAGAATGTGGGTTAGATTAACGTGACGAAAGTGAAAATAAAAGTTGAATTCGGACATTAGAGAAAAGTTCAAACGTCACATTTCTAATAATGAGTCTAGAGGTAGTCAAGAGTCTTAGGTCTGAGGTATATGATTTAGGAAGATTCATGTGTTAATAATGTAATCTAGTAGCCCCAAGAAGTATATATCGAGTTGCCAATAGGATGGACCAATCCCCAAAAGCACCAAGAACACAGATCAAAGAACAAGCCATTGAAAAAAGAATCTGATCATCGGATTCTTAACCTCAGTATCGACACTACAAGGCGACAGTGTCAAGAACCAGTCTAAGGTGAAAGAAAACAGCAATCCAATCATCTAGAGAGTTCCGAGAAACCAGGAAGTTCAATCTACACATTCATCCGAGATGCCAATACACGCATACGGATTTTCGATACAGTTCCTCACTTGCCCCTGTAACATAGAAGAAATTTTTGTTGAATAATCTTTCAAATTGTGGTAAATAGAGAGAAGAGCCAGTACAGTGTTTACACTTACGTGTTCATCATCAAAGTGATGTTGTCTCCTTTAAGTAATATCCTCCCTGAATAATGCATATCCAGGACGACCAGTAAGAATCAATATGCAAATGAAAACAACTTGCCAAAGGGTCGAGAAGAACAACTTACCGAGTGACTTTCTGGTCTTCTTCTTGATGCTCACTTCTTCAGCATCATCCAGCACCAAATTCATGTATTCGTCAAAACCCTGCACGGGAAAGATATAATGCTCGTTGTCTGAATCTCGGGCTTCCAAAATTGATGCAGAATTGAATTTCTAAGGTTATCATCTCAAGAGAGAAACCAGTTTAATAAATAAACAGGAGTCTTAACCTGGAGATGATAATCACCAAACCCTAGAATCAAAATAGTTTCTCAATCTTTGCTTTCTCTACTAACAATTCTGAGGCATACCAACAATCTTATACAATCCATGTGTGGTTCCATGATCTGATTAAGTCGGTTCACCGATTAATTCTGTCGCAAAGACAACGACTTTACTATTACTCAAAGCCGTCTATATAAGTACAACAATACAGTTCTGTCTGTGAACATGCAAAGCACGGATATCCTTATACATATATATTCGAATTCTGTGGAGGTTTTTCAATGTTCAAGCCAGGAGACTCGATTCATGCCAGCTTATTCCAACACCTACTGATGGAAATTCCGACATGGTAACAAACAAATACATAGACGTGATACAGGAAAGAATTCAGTGTATCTGACACTTACAGTAATTCGCCCCTCAATTCTCAAGTCTTTCTGCTCAAAGAGCCATATCTGGATCCTAGCTTTCTGCGTAACCACGGACGAACATGAGAGAAATGTGAATCAGAGAGATACCGAAACCCAAATCAAAGTACTAAGAAACCGAAATTCAGGACCAATCCTGTAAACGAATGACCGAAATGAAGCAAACCCAGAAGAAATTCACAAGCAAGCAAAGAACTTACACTTTGGAGAAACCTAAAAATCAAGTTCTGGTGTCCGCCCAAATCCACCGGAAACCAAGGCAAATCGAGTCAGCAAACGAAAGAGAGCTTGGGAATTCGAAATAAATCAAAGAGAGGAGAAAAAGATACGAGACTTACGATGGGTTGTGTCATAATCCTTTGAACTTTCGTGCTCGCCATGGCTGCTGAGGTTTCAAGGTCTCTGGAGCTCTAGCTATGGAGGAAAACCTAAAACCCTATTTCCTCAACTCCTTTGCTACGTTTTGATTCACTTCCTCGCGAGACACACCCCCATAGAAAACAAGCGCTTCCAGACATTTCTAATTAATTACTGACGTAGTCCTTATAAAATTTACATTTCTCACTTTTGCCCCCAATAAAACCTATAACACACTTTGGCCCAAACTCAGATTACCAAGAACACCTATGATTTTTTTAAGATGAGAAAAAGCACAAGACTTTGGAATTCACTCTATATTTACAACATTATGGACCAAAGATATCTAAAATGTGCTTCTCACCAAAAAAAAAAAAAATTCAACTGTGTGTGTGTATATATATATATAAAGTTTATTTCTCATCACATATATATATATACATAAAGTTCATATCTCACAACACAAGAATGTACAAAAACAGCGTAGTTAATACACAACAAGAGGAAATTTGTATTTGCCAATGAGCAAAAAGTACCAGAAAATTTCACTACAGGAAACCCCTATTGAGATAAATGCTAAATGACTAATTCATCAGTTTGAATTCCAAACAACAATCTTCTTTCTCTTGATCTTATATCGGCTTGCCGTCTGTCATTCACCTCTGATCATTAGCGACTGGAAAGGAACCCTTTTGATTTCGACGAACGTCGAGAAATCTGTGTTCATAGGTTGCTTCCATGGCTCACCATCCATCTGCAAGTAACCATCTTTCCAATCGCCTCCTCTAAGTTCGAATCTAATGGCTGCAGCCTGCAAACTCGATAAACGTCTTGTCTGAAAACGGGTTTTGAACAAGACGTGTCTGAAAATACGGAGACGGGTTTTCCTTCTTCATTCAGTACCTGAGCAATGTGCTTGGCTGAGATGAGCTCGGCCATGACGAATGATGCATGCCACCCTTGCTTTAGACCGAAAATTTCTATCAGACCGTCATCACAATGTGCCTCCACAAACCCTCTCTGGGAAACCGAAAGCTTTTTTAACGTTGGGAAACCGATCAAACCGGCAACGAAAGTTGAAACTCTGATCGAAAAAGATACCTTCTCCAGATAATCGGGTTTAAGATTACCCCATGGATGTCTTCCGCTTCCATAGTTATACAGATTCAATGCAACCATTGATCTTACACTACAAAAAAAACAATTGACCGTCCCCCGAGAATTGAGATTACAGATTACATATATATATATATATATATATATATCGATGCGTATTGATCAATGATGTATCATATCGAAAGGTTTCGCCTTTTTTACCCTTTTGGAACAGGAACCTCTTCCCATTCAGAGCAATTCACCTTTTTAATGTGGATCTTCAATATATTTCTAAGTCCCCTGCAAATTCATCTAACATTAACAGGTTAATATGGCAAAGAGACGTGAAAGAGTTAGTTAATTAGTTACACAATTAATAGAAATCCAGAAAAGAAAAAAAAGATTTCAGTGACATGCTGACCTTAAACCCGGATCGCTTACACAAGGCGTGCAAAACCAACCTTGAGTGCAACTGTAACTCGAATATATAATCTGCATAAAAGCAAATATAGGGAATCATTATATTTCATAATCCCGATCTTTAAAAAGAAAACATAAACCCGATACAACTACTTGGCCCATAACCTTGTTTGAAACGGGACCCTGAGCAAGATACGGTTTGTCATTGCGAAGATGATGGAAGCCATATGCAACTTGAGCATCCATTCCTAAATCACCCGAAAACAGTATACAAATGAGAAATTGTCAGACGAGAAATGTAAATTATCGGGAAGAGATGCATCCGTGGAATTAGCTGTTAGGATATGAAATGGGAAATTCTTGTTCATCATCAAACCTATGCTGAAGTAGTTGTAGAACACCCCTTCATAGGACTTTGCCTTAGGAGGCACATCCCCTCCATTGTCCAAACCCTGAATCCACAAAAGTGCGGTTTTCTATTGTTATGTTCATGGCAATACGTGTGGCCCGGCCGGAGATTGAACATGAAAAGTGTCCAAGTGCAAGGCGGTATTGATTTTTAGTTCATGCAACAAAACCTGATCAACAGCACTTTCTTCAGTAGGTCTCAGAGAATGCGGAGGATCAACCACTTCTCCAGATGGCATTGACACTACAATCTTCCAGCTGCATCGTTGTGAAGAATCATGTAAGTTCCGATCATTGCAAGAACGACTTTAGTAAACGGCAGCATATGCAAAAACACGATTTTTTTTCCACCACGAAACAATCAGTGTGCCAGGAAATTTGATCCACCATGAAAGTCTCATGAATTCAACATATCATGAAACAGAAATCACGAGATAAACTACGGACAAAAGGGTTTTGTTGTCTCAGTTAACAAGACTTGCCTGTCTAGGCGGGCAACTGGAGCCATGGTTGCCCGATGGAGTGTTCTTTTGACAGCAGATCTCCAGGCAAAAGGGAAGGAACCGCCCTGTAAGAGAAGATAACTTCCAAAATCACCGAACCAGAAAGATGTAACGGCAGAAGAGAAACGAAAAGAGAAGGAAGACGGACCCAACCAAAACTCCTCGAGAGGTCATTTCCTGTACCGAGAGGAATAATACCGACAGGAGGAACACGATTCTTTCCTTCTTTGTGAAGCTCACCAAGACATCCAAGAACCCAACCCACAGTCCCATCACCTCCTGCTACCTATCAATGCCCATTCCCATTTACATTTCTGATTACTGAAGAAAATTTCACTGAAGATAAAAGTGCAAACTCACCATAACTCTCATCCTTTCCCTGCATTCTTTAGCACATTCATCTCCATTGGCAGCCACTGTCTCTAAGCAAGCCAGACCATAACGTACAAACTCGTGAGGCTTCACTTCTGTGAGGTCAAAGACCTGTGTTTATTACATCCATAAAATCCTTAGTCCAACTCAATACTTTGCAAGATTTCAGATCATTTCACCCTTTACAGACTATCATTGGCATAAATTAGTTTTTCCAAGTATCAATGTACTCATCACTGAATAGTCTGCAGCAACATCTTGGGAACTCAAGATTTTCTCCATCTGGGTTCCCAACAAAAGTTTCAAACTTTCTGAAGCAAAAAGCTTTAGATCCTATCTCGGCAAATCCTTAGCCTTGATCTGATTTCAGCTAATCCTAGGAATCCATGGCACAGAAACTAAATCTGAAGATTCAACCGAAACAGAACACCAAATCAGCTTGTCGATCTACATTGATCAAGTCGCATTTCCATTCCAAAGCCAAGAACACCCACTAAATAGATGTAAACGGATTTCGTTTGATTGACTAGATTTCATAATCTCTTAAAATAGCAACACGATACCAAAAGCATCGACCTTGACCATATCTAACGAGAAAAATCCTGAATTCCTTCAACGACAGCAAAGAAAAGAAGACAAAACTTCAAGACTATATTTAGGCAGAGCCACAAGTGCAGTGTCGATTTCTGTTCCAAACACAAAACACCAACCTGTTCATCGGTCATCAACTGCTGAAGCCTCTCCTTGAGAACAGGGCCGTGTCGGCCGCCGCTTTTAGGGTTTATGAAGACGACCATCGGAGCCTCCGGCGCCATGTCGGCGGTGGCGCCGCCGGGGAGAAGCAAGTGATCGGGGATCGCGGTTGCGTCTCTCCGGCGGATGCACTCTCGCATGGCGAGGCGGAGATACTCCGGCATGGCCAGCCTCCGCCGCAGCTCCTCCCTGTCGACGCCGACCCACGTCAGGCCCTTCAGCCCGCAGCCTCTCTTCGACGCCACATCGACCGCCGCCAGCCTCCGCCGCAGCTCCTCCCTGTCGACGCCGACCCACGTCAGGCCCTTCAGCCCGCAGCCTCTCTTCGACGCCACATCGTCCGCCGCCGCCGCCGGCCTCTCCGCCGCCACGAATTTCGCCGTCGACGCCTCGCCTAGTGACCTCGGCGACTCCATCTCTCTCTCTCTTCCTTTCCGTCCTCTGATCGGAGAGAGAGCAGAAAATTCAAAACACAGCAAGAAAATCCGTCCGAAACGAAGGAAATATATAAACATTGATCGAATTGAAGAATGCGGTTGTCCTTTTCTTACCGTAAGAATTCAATAAACTTCTCGATGACAGTTTGCTTCTCGGAATATTATGCGGCCACAGGGCAGAATGGTGCGTATCACTGTAAAGGTGTACGTATAGATTTTCCAGAGTTTTTTTTTTTATATTTTTTTTGAGAAAAAGGATGTCACAAACACGTAAGGAAAATGGCCATCTGGGCAGACCGAAATTACGAAATTACCGGAATTGTGGATATTGAGGAAATCAATTAACCATTTCATGGAGAAATGTTATTTAGCAGTGTCAATAAAGATAAACGCGTGCAATTAGTGTGATCGGTGGCTATTAATGGCACATGTGATTTGCAGATTTATTATATGGTTTCCGTCCTTGCACGCATCCAAAACTCTATATAGACAATTATAATACATATGCTAATTATTAGATATATATATATATATATGTATAATGATATACAAAACAATGGAAGGATGTCCATAGAAAGATGGGCTATGTCAGGGAAAACGTATGGGCATACATACATATATTATATATACATACACACACACATACATATATATAATATTTATGAGTATTGATTTTAGATAGTTGAACTGGTTACATTTAATCTTCCGATAGTTAGGAGGTAGGTCAATATTTATTGCATTTAGATTTGTTATAACCACCAAATTCCCAACCATTTATTTGTATATAGAAGTAGGGATGTGATAAGATATTGTTGAACTTTACTGAAAAATGATAATATATTCATTTTTTTTATCAATTTAGACGTTTATATTTCTAATTTCTAATATATTGAGTTGATAAAATACAAGATAGATCTTTTAAGTAATTCAATATAAAGACAAATATTATACATAAAAATGAATTAATTTAATAACGGTGATGGTTAAATACATTTTTATTCTACAGGTTTAGATTAAAATTCTGAATTATTAAGCTGAATCAAATCAGATATATTTTAAAATTGTTAGAATATTTATATAATTCTGTCTCGAAATTAGTTAGGTTACAAAGAGTGGATTATTAGGAAGACTAAAGGTATGAAATGAATGGTGGTAGTTTTTAATTTTGGTTTTTGAATAATAGTTTTGGGTTTTTGTAATATTTATAAATCCAAAAAAATAGAGCATTTAGTTTTTATTTGATTTTTGTACGAAAATAGTTTTAAAGTTTTTAGGCAAACTTAATCTACAAAATTTTGATTGTCAACTGTTTTTAGTTTTTAAATAAACGTAGAAAACTTCATCCATTCAACGTTTAAACCAAACGTCTGTTGATTTGAGGCCTAGTGGCATTTTGGTAATTGTATGACGGAAGAAATGGTGTTATTGTCATAAACGTATCACATGAAACGCATTGGACAAGATGGGGTCCACACGGTTGATGACCGTTGATTTTCCATGCCCACCAACTTGGATCACTGACGGACGGCGATTCTTCTCCCTTCTCCATGGGTCTTCCTTCTAGAATTAATATATATATATATATA